ATTCAGTATTAAATCGCATCGTGTAAGAATAGCAGTTCCTGATGAGTTGGTTTGCCCATGTGAAAAATATATATTTGATCCCCATTCCCTTGCCCAAACAGATTCATCGCTTAAACAACTGTGAGTTTCTTTGCTTTTGATTTTTAAGCCATCTAAATATTTTATCCCTTTTGGGTTTATCTCTGAGACCTCTTACATTCAAAGATAGTAGACCTATATCAGTCATTACAGTAACAAATTATCTCTGCCATATTACATAAAAAATTCAGATTTTGTTCGAAAATTGCAATATTAACTAAAAAAGACCTAACGTATATATTTATGTGATAAATAATTTCATAAGAACAAAGTGATATAAATAATTGAAAAACGAGCAGAAGCAAATAATTCTGCGGTTGCATGCTGGTATTGAACGCATATGGCGTCCAGGTTGCCTGAAGGTTTGACAAAAATAAAATAAAAAAAATAAAAATGTGCGGAAAACAAGAGAATATAGATATATAATGCAAAAAAAGAAAACAGTAAAAATGAACATGGTTAAGTTTTGAGGAACGTTATCTAATCACTTATTCAATGTCATTTCACTCAGTTATCTCACATACTATTCACTGATTGGAGAAGATGTCGCTTTATAGGTTTTGAAAGCAGTTCATGTATTACTCAATACTGAGAACTGAGATGTTCTTATAATTGCAAATAAAGAAACTTTAAAGTGGCTTTAAAATTTCTCAAAATAAAGCACATACTTACAATAGTTAGTTTTAATTTAAATTTAGTCACTGGGAGCGTGTTTGATTTTAGATTCAAAGTCATCAAATAAGTCTATCTTCACTTTATGTCGTCCATCTGTTTTAGCATAAACATGACAGTTGTAATACCAAGCAGACGCTATATAAGATTGAGTTTTAAGATGCTTAATCAGGTCCATATTCTTCTTTGTCACGTCATGATAAACTGGAATATCCGAGTTGAAAAACGATTTCCGATATTTCATAATATTCTCTTTAATCTCAGTGTTTTTGACTTTTAGAATGATAGGTTTTGGTTTGTTTGCATATTTTGATTGAAGGGGGTGAATAGCTATAATGTCAGATTTGTTTAATTTAAATTCATTGTTAGAAACGTCTTTGATAATTTCAATAATTTTATCCGCTAATGAAATGATTACATCCCACGTGAACATCTATCCATGGCGGGTGAGAATGTCACATATATATCTCCACAAGCCCAAAATAAATTGCTTACAGCTATTGGAACGGTCATTCGGAGATGCTTCCTAGAAGAGATAAGACAAGCCAGGTTCTTCTCTTTATTGGCTAGAAATTCTGGAATTAATATTGAAAAAAAAGGTTAGACAGGGTTATGATGGAGCCGCAGCTATGTCCGTCAGCGCCATGTACACGCATTGCCATAAGGCAATGACGCCCATGCATGAGATTGCAGTATTCTTCAATGATTCCAACAAACGAATTCAGCGTTGAATCGAAAATCATGGATTGTAAAGAATCATCTCACTCACGTCCGAAGCTGAACACCAGATGGGTAGAACGCCAAGAAGCAGTGCATATGCTCCTATGGACTAGGACAGACTGCGTCGGGAAAGCTCTATTTTATTTTGCGTTAAAATTAATAATGGTTTTATAGAGTCTTGATGCTGAGCTAACCATCTCACAGACAAGCCACAAGAATACTACCGTCGGGCGGTTTTCATCTCCTACCTTGAAGTCTGCAGTTCCACTGTGCCAAGCGTACTCATGGGGCATTTTAATCCCAGCGATCTGTATCTGTAACGAATTATTAAAAAACATGAAACCTGGTGTTAATATTGTATACTGTACATGGAGGCCAGACGCTCTGCCTTAGCTCGTGCCTTCCGCACTTCGCATATCGGCGCCTACGGCGCTTATATGCCCTCAGACCCCTTCAAAGGAATCCTTGCTACGCCACTGTACGCATACTCAAACTCAAACAAATTCTATCCAAATCCTCAGTAAATCAAAGTTTACAGATGTCCTCAAACTCAACCTCAATTCTTCTGTTAGTACAACGGTTAACACGTTGGACAATTTTCTTGCGTTTGAATCCCCTTTAAGACATCATTACTGTGGATGTTTTCTGACCCATTACCACACGTTGACGGTTTTGTGGACCCATCGTACGGACACATGTAATCACATTTTGAGCTTCGCGTTTGAGCTTTAAGCTGCGATACCAGAGAAAATCCTCTCCAATTAGTCCAGTGGCGGAGCAACAAAGTATGTTTAGGAGTACATACACTGTTTTATTTTGTTTCCAGACCCAATACCAAGCGGGTTCTTTTAAAAGTTTGATGATCATTTATTTTCTAGCTCAGTGGAACTGATGTGTTTGCTCTATCCTCCATATCGTCCGTCAGCTCTAAATGTATACGTGAAGCCAGAATGAATGGGACTTTAAGAGAAGAAAAGGTAGAAAACGGTAAAACTATTCTGGAGATGGTGGAAGAAGTTTCTTGTCCTGGGGAATGTTCAAATCAGGGTCTTTGTGAAGACGGTAAGTGGTTTCAATCTATTGAGATTAAGATCTCTTGTACGATTTTGTTGGCGACGATTTTGTTTTTTCCCGAAAAAAATTTTGTTCCCGGCGACGATGGGTCCCATATACTGATGCTACGGGTTCAGCATAGTGAAGGCAAAATCGTATTAAGATGACGATAAGTTTTGAGTTTTTCTTTCAAAAGCTTATCCTCCAACGTTGAGCCCATTTCTCGGCTACGGTATATATATCGATAGCGTCTGTCAGATCCCGTTGGCAGAAGGGCAGCATTAAGTAATCTAAGCGTTCATCATCAGAAGGACTTCTCAAAAGATTTTTCTGAGGTTTTATACGGCGACGTTGAAGCTGCTAACATGAAGTGTCCGATTTTTGACATTGATAGGAATAAATGGTGATAAATGTGAGCTTTGACAGCAATTTCTACCATTTTGCTTCTCGTGAGTTCGTCCTGAGAAATTCCTTCATTTAAGCTATAAAATTATTTGAATTCTACAGTTCGATTTGAATTCCTTCAATGGAACAGTTATATATAAGCTATAAAATTATTTGAATTCTACAGTTCGATTTGAATTCCTTCAATGGAACAGTTATATATAAGCTATAAAATTATTTTAATCCTCTAGTTTTATTTGAATTATTTCACTGGAACAGTAATATTTAAGCTACAAAATTATTGAGGTGGATGTGAGATGGCATGCTTGGCGCTGGTGGATGGTTGGACGCTTCAGTGTATGAGTTATTGCGTCCCTCCTGCTGCTTGTTGATTGCATTGTGCGCTTCGTTGTCCGCTGGCGCTTGACGTGTTTTTGTCTTTTGTATGTTGTTTTTGTTGTTTGTCACTGGCCTTTGCGTGTTGTGGAAATAGGCTTTTGCTTATGTACGCTTGTTGTTTTGTTTTCTATCGCTGTGTGTGAATGGGGCGTTGTAGGGGTTGACGGGGGAGTGGTGTATCAGTGATGGTGTTTATTATTATTATGAATTGATATTGACAACTGTATTTTGTCATTCCAGGTAAATGTATCTGTAAGTCTGGGTATATTGGATCCGACTGTTCAGTATCACTCAATGAACCACCATTAGCTCACAACCTAGAAGCTGATGGACATTGTGATTTATCACTAGACGGTTGTACTGAAGTGGCTGTTTTTGGTGGAAGATTTGTAGATCATGACAAGACCAAGTGTAAACTGTTACCATTTAAGGTACATGTAATTTATGTCCATACTTTAAAATGGGACTATATTCTGAATACTCAACATAATGATGTTATAATACAAATATAACTTACTTTTTTAGATGAAAAAGAATGATTTTACAATGTACTGATGGGAGAAACAATCTGTGTTCTTATCATGATGACAGTTTTAAAGTATAACATTGTTTTTGCAACGATATTACCCTTCATTTTCGAAATCTAAAACGTGCCTCTCAGTGTAGGAGTATATATTGATTATCTAAGTAAATTTTTGAAATATCTTAATGCTAATTTAACCTGGTAAGATAATATCCTTTTATAAATTTTAGATGAAGAATGACCAAGTTACTGTCAGCAAAGAAAGAATAATACAAACAGCAGTATTTGAGAGTATTGGAGAAGTAACGTGTAAATTACCATCTAGAAAACGTAGAAGAAGATCAGTTAATGTACCAGTTATTGATGAAACTGTGACAGGTTATAAAGTCTCCGTATCTAATAATGGCCAGAACTACAGTCAACAGTTAAATTTCATCATATATAATACAGAATGTATAAACTGTAATATAGATAACTCGAATGAAATAATCTGTACATTTTCGGTAAGATATTCAATAGTTATGTAAACTATAGTGGGCATCTGGATTCTCCGAAAGGGAGTGGAATATTTCAGTCCAACCATTGTCCGAACTATTTTATTATAGATGTTATATGTTATAGTAATAGCTTATTTCAGTCTAACTATTGTATTATAGATGCTATATGTTATAGTAATGGTTTATTTCAGTCTAACTATTGTATTATAGATGCTATATGTTATAGTAATAGTTTATTTCAGTCTAATTATTGTATTATAGATGCTATATGTTATAGTAATGGTTTATCTCAGTCTAACTATTGTATTATAGATGCTATATGTTATAATAATAGTTTATTTCAGTCTAACTATTGTATTATAGATGCTATATGTTATAGTAATGGTTTATTTCAGTTTAACTATTGTATTATAGATGCTATATGTTATAGTAATGGTTTATTTCAGTCTAACTATTGTATTATAGATGCTATATGTTATAGTAATGGTTTATTTCAGTCTAACTATTGTATTATAGATGCTATATGTTATAGTAATGGTTTATTTCAGTTTAACTATTGTATTATAGATGCTATATGTTATAGTAATGGTTTATGTCAGTCTAACTATTGTATTATAGATGCTATATGTTATAGTAAT